CTCGCTCTGATGCCATCTGCTCTGATGCCGTCTTTTTCTTTATTAACTTCTCTTATCGTCTTCAACTCGGCTTTGAGCTCCTCCATCTCGCCAGCTGCTTCTTCGAGGCGTTCTTTCAGATAGTGACTCCTTTTCCGCCTCTTTATTGCGATTTGATACATGTTGTATAAAATTCTTGATAAAACCCTGAGCCGTCCAGTTTCGGTATCGTTGGTGACGTCGGAGTCGGTCGGTCCACCTCGCAGTAGGGTACCTATTTCCTCCTGCGCTTTATGAAGTCTATGATAGAGCGTCCTCTATTTCCTCGGTCATTTCCTCGATCTCGGAGTGTTGGTGTTCCATTATATCAATTACTGGCTTGGTATAATTCTCTGGGATGAGACCACGTTGTCCAAGCGAATTCCTTGCAATGCACCATCCGGGGTATCCTTTTCCAACGATGCTGAGGTAGTCACCTTTTTTAAATGATAACTCTTCTGACAGTTCCGCTTGAAATCCCATAGGGCCAATACCAGCGAATGACCAGCATCGATTTCCGATTCATTATCCATACTCTCTTCAACTTCATGGACCGTTTCAGACATCTCTGCGTTATACTCGCTCCCAGCGTTCATCCGTCCTTACGTCATGGCCCGTTGTTTGATCCTCTGAAATATAATAAATGGCATTCGATATCATTCGTTCGTGGCGAGCGGTGGCTCTATCACTGTCTGCTGAGCCAATCAATTATCACCGGCCTCTTACCTATCTGGTTGAAGTGTGGAAGTCGTTCGTCAATATTGGATACGGTTACCCTTGTGGCTGGGGTGTTATATCGTCAGAAAATAGCCACCGTTGTAGGTCTATTTTTCCAAAGTTATCAATACATTTGTCGATTTCACAACATTTGCTCTGCCAGCGTTGTGAAGCAGGTGTCCACTGTCAAGTCCTGCCACTTTCAAAAAGGGTCCACTGTCACGTGACACTGTTTGAAAGTAGCGGGCTTCCTTTGAACGTTGGGTCCCGCCACTATTGAGTCGCTGGTACATCGTTCGACTCGCTGGCGCAACGCTCGATCGAGCGATTCGCTAGCGAATCGCTCGATTCGCAAACTATGACATCGGCCTTAGCGAGATAGCGCAAACTCGCACATTCCAACTTTTCAGGCATGCCAAGTGACTCCCCCATGTCCGCCCCACCTCTAAACTGCCTACACTCTTCCCTCGCCCAGACTCTTCGCCTCACAGTGAAGAACGCGAACATACAGCACGTCGCGGCGGCGACTGACCTCTCACCGGGTGTGCAGGGCAGGGTCAAGCGTGCGTTGAGGAATCCTCGACATGTCACAGGGGGGGGGGGTCGTATTGGCCCGCTGGGGAGAGATCGGGCCCGATTGATACAGTAGGATCATCGTCGGAGGACAAACATCAAGGATCGAGTCGATGCCAGGCCAGAGTATTTCCAATAACAATTGATTCCGCCCACACAAAATCTTCGTGATTTAGAGGTGTCCGCTTAGCAATTCTTAGTTACTTCAGTGTTTTATCACCACACAAGTTAAAGAATCCGAAATTCGCACGTTTTCCAAGGGATATTTTCTTTCAAGTGAGTCCTCAAATCCGAAGGGATGTGAAGCACACGGCGCATCCCAGAGTGGGCCCAGTTGGTTGCGCGCGCTTCAGCTACGGCTCTCTGGAGAAAGAATCTCAATTCAGGAAAAATCAAGAGGATTCTGAAAGGGTTCATGTGAAATTACAGGGAGGAGTACACCATTCAACAAGAAACGCAGCCTTCAGCGTCAAATTCACAAGCATGTAACCTTAAAGTTGAGACACGCTAAACAATTTTACACTTTTGGAAAGAGAAAAGCACGAGGATTCGAATCTGCTCCTACTTTAGTATGTAATCGCCCCTGAAAGGAGCTATAGTCGTTGAATAGTGCTAATGTAGCGAAAAAGTACCTTTCGGCGGTACTCGGGCAAAAATCCTCAACGTGGCCATTTTTTAAATAGTGAACGTATTTAGCAGTTTTAGTAACCATTTGAAAGAGCAAATCTTCTAGTTTATGATGACGTATTAACTTTCCAGATTGGATGAGTTTGAACGGAGTTATGGCTTTGGAAAGCGTAAAAACTCGCACTCATCACGAATTTTCCTCGTTAATTTTGCAAAAATCCTCAACGTGGCCATTTTTTGAGTACTGGACGTATAAAGCTGCTTTAGCAACCGTTTGATAGAGAAAATCTTCTAGTTTTGTATGACGTATTAACTTTTCGATTTGACGAAAATGAAGCAAGTTATGGCTTCGGAAAGTGTAAAAACTCGTGCTCATCATGAATTTTCCTCGTTAATTGATCTAAATTTGTTATTTCTTATAACTTTTTGTAATTTCAATACTGATTAGAAAGAAGCTCTTCACAAAACTTCCAAATCTGCTTTCAGATTGAAAATTCGTCATATTTGAAGAAAGTTATAATCATTTGAATATTTGTTCAAATTTCAATAGTGGATAAGCTGCTCCACGGTCAACGCCAAAGATCAGCCAGCACACAGCTGGCTAAGGCGGGTACAAGCCTTCTTTCAACTGAAAGGGGGAGGTGTAGATTGAGAGCATACACTGTGTAGTACCAAAATTTGATAAGTCTTGCGAAGGGAATAAATAACGAAGAGATGTTGTCATAGTATGCCATTTTTGGTGACTAGTTTGACGTTTTTTGCTCCGTTTCTCGTTTGCTCGTTTGATAGGGCTCATCAATAATGACTATTCTTTGACTTTTTCACTTTTGTACTTCTCAAATGAATTTTTCCGTGAACGGTGGAGTAGCAGGGAACGGTGGAGTAGTCAGAAATGTTGGTCAAATACGGCCCTGGTGACCGCCCGGCGATCACGGTGGGTGGTCCTGTTTTGACCACCGACCGTGCCATTGGCAAAAAATGACGCGGGAACTACCGTATAAAAGGCCCAGTAAAACACAAGTAAAGGGTTCTCCACTTCGGATTCGACTATCGTCCGTCGTCACGCCACCACCGTTCATCGTCTCCAGTCACCGTCACTCTCCAGCTCCACAACTTCGACCAATATTCATTCTATCTATTCTAATTGCATTCCAATTCGTTATTCACTGTTGCTAATAGTTATATAAAGTTGTTTACGTTGAAGAGCTTACTGTGACCATTCAGAACAAAACAGGGTCATCACACACCACACACAATTTTGACTTGGGGGCCAAGCCGAATCTCAACGGTCCATTAGGCTCTTCAAGTTAGCAACTTTACTTATACTGACGGCTCCTTGTCGGGTGTCAGTAATAAACTGATCTCTGACGGCTCTAAAGAAGGGTGTCAGAAATCGATCAGCGGTACCGGTAGCAGTTGCTGTCGTTGATACCGTGGTGTCTTGGCTTTCAGACGTGACACTGTGAAGTGCCCGTCAGAAGCCGGCCGTACTGAAGTACGTGCGGTCGGGAAAGAACAGGCCAAGACACCTGAATTCGTTCCGATACTGTCGAAGTATTTGCGAAATGTCTCGTGAAATGCAGAATAAGTCCGATACCATGGAGACTGGGCAAACTGGTTTTGTTCCAGAGTCGCAAGAGCCAGCACATATGGCCGGTGGAATCGAGGATACGGTCAGTGCCCATAGTTCTGACTCGGATTCGGACGTTGAGATGCAGGTATGCCTCAAACTCATAGAGAAAGTTAATCGCCTAAGGGTGGAAATTCTAGCAGAAATTTCGAAACACCTTCGGCTAGGCGATGGGAGGCGTGACCAAATACAGGCCGTAGTAGAGCGAAGCATGGCACGCATACAGAAAAGATTAGAGCGACTAAAAGGAATTGTAGAGAGTCGCAGCAGTACTTTGGCCGCGATAGATGTACTGAAACAGTACGCGGACGAGAATGGAGAAGAGGAGTGGGTTAATAATCTTAGGCAGCTCCTAATGAATGGGAGAACCCTGCAGAAGGTAGCGCGTAAGCTGAATTGCGCTGATAACGAAGTAAAGCGTTATGTAAAAAGAGTGATAAAGAGCAAGGAAACCCTGGAAGATACAGTTTCTTCGTTACAGGAACTTTGCAATCAAAAGGACGATGAGATAAGAGCCCTTAAGGAAGAGCTCGAGAAAGAAAGGCGCAAGGTAGCCGAGCTGGAAGCCTCTGGTAGTCGTGAGGAGCACACAGGTGGCCATTCCACGATACCAGGTAAGTCAAGGCATATGCCTAGCGATGTCAATGACAGCCAAGAAGAGAGTACTCAATTGCAGAGTGGCTGGCACACGCAGGCGAAAAAGAGGGACTGTCGAAGCGTGAGCTCCAACGATTTGTTGAGCAGGACCTCCACACCGCGAGGTACGTCTGATAGTTCAGAAGAAAGTTCAAATAGTGGGAGTATGAGTGGAAGAGTAATACGGAAACATCATAGAAGGTCTAGGTTGAGGACCCAAGATACAATGGGGGAATATTTGAGATATGTAGCCTTGCCTGATGTTTCGCCGTACTCAGGGAAAGGAGTACTCATTCGAAAACTTTGTAGAAGCGTTTGAGTTGAAATATCCCGGCCAATACTGGGAGGATAAAGAACGCTGCGCTTTGTTCAAATCAAAGTTGGTGGGTAAAGCAAGGGCGCAGTATGAGGCGTTGCCCAAAACAAAAAAACGCAACTTTTACACACTAGTGAATGCGATGAAAGAAATGTGCAAGGAAGAAACGCGCAATAAGAAAATTATCGCACTAGGTGAACTTAAGCGTCTCAGAAAACCCGAGTCACAGTCAATAGGGGATTTCTGTGTTGAATTAGAGCGACTGACACGTAGAGCCTATCCTGAATTGGAGGAAAGGACGTTGTCAGTCATTCGTGCAGACCACTTGTATGACCAACTCTCCCACTGGGACGAATCCTGCCACCTACAAGAGGCTTTGGAAGGACCTGGTGGCGACATGTATGAAGAGTGAGGACGCAGCGATATTAAAATATGAGACCAGTGGAAAGGAGGCATAATAGCTCTCGAAAATCGCGTTAGAGAATGAAAGTCCCTTCGAGCGCATGGACCGAGACAAAGGGGAAAACTTTCCGAGGAAATCACTCCAGAGGAGTCCATTTCGGTCGAAAGGAGGAAAAGAGTAAGACAGAGATTGAAGCCAGCAAGGATTGTAAAGGGAATAAAGAGGCACTGGATATGAAATGCGTCAAATGTAAGAAGGCGGGTCACAAAGCGCGTGACTGCAAGAGTACGGGCACAGGTGAGACAACCCGCCCTCTGTCACTATCGGCACGAGTTCATGCAGTGAAGTACAGTCATGTTCGAGAAACAACAATGGACAAAGTGTTATATGTAAGCTCTTTTTTTAACAAACATGTGGTTGGCAAATGCGTATCAAACAAACTGACGTCGATCATCTCAGGATAGACGGAAGCGGTTCATGCTCGATACGGGATCGGAGGTATCAATTCTACCCGTGAATGTGCTCAAAGAGGCCATGGAAGACGGAATCGACGTTGATGCTAAAGTCAAAGAAATCGCGCTGCCCAAATCACTGAAGGTTATGGATGCTTCAGGAAGAGCGATGGAATTCCTCACCGCAGTGGAGGTGGATGTCATGGACAAAAGTGACAAAAAAGGAATTTCCGTGCGGATGTTGGTTTCCAAAGCAAAGGAGGAGCTTATTATTCTGGGAACCAACGCAATCTCACGAATGGGATATGAGCTCAAGAAGAGGTCGAATATGAAGGATGATGAAGAAGTCGAGCAACAACGAAACCCAGCGGAGGAAAATCCCGCAGCTGTCGTTGCTCGAAGAGTCTTCATAGCACCCGGTCAAACAGGATGTGTTGATCTCCAATGTAAAAGTCGGTGGTCCGAGGCAATCCTCAACACGGAGGACGACAGAATTCCGGATGGTCTATGCAAGATTAACGCCGAGGGCATTGCAAAGGTGGCGGTCGTCAAACACCACCGAGGAGCCCATAGTGATGCAGAAGGGCGAGAAAGTAGGCAAATGGGAAGACGTCTACTGGGACAAGGTCCGCCTCGAGGATACGACAACCGATCTTCTTTGTAATCAAAGTGAACCAATGTCGGAGAATGAGAGACTGAAGACTATATTCAGTTTGTTCGTATAACTTC